CAATGAATAACAGCAATCATAGCAACACAACCATTACAGTGAATACTTAAATAAAAATGTTTACATCAATTTGAAACTTTGTCTGAAACTTTGTTTGAATTACATTCAATAGCTTGAATAGTAATAACTTAAAACTCTTATTGCTCTAGTTCCTCGAAAATCCAGCAAGTACCTGTCTACTGATTTCCTGAGAATACAAGCAGTTTAAAAGAGTATCAGCATAAAGTTGGTGAGTTCATAAGCGGTGATTTGTAGTGAAAATCGTTGATGAGTTCGTGAAATATTTGTATGGTTCCAAGAAAATCCGATATTTTCTTTAGTGAGAAAGTAGTGTTTTCAATTCTGTATAAAACCATGAATGTTTGTCACTGAAAACTGTAGTGATATGCGAAAATATTACCTCATGTGACTAGCTAAAACTAATCATGAAGTATAAATATGTTATATGTAAAACCATAGCATAAATGGTTCTGTTTGAAAACCCTGGCTTGGCCGTTATACGTAGTGTGTTTTAGTTCTATTTAGTATAAATAAAACCGTTGAAGAATGTCAGATTGTAAACTAAAGGTGATTTATACATAATGTGAGTCGTATAACCATGCTTGATATGACTAGTGACCTTTCCAACGTTCTTCAGGCGTTGAGTGAAATGACATTTGTACATCTCAGGCGTGCCCGCCTAACTGTAGCTAGCAGTACAGATGTGGGATTGTCAGTCCCGAATAGATCTATTCACAAATCTCACGCTCTCCCTCCAGGAGACTCTGGTTATACAGTGGTAGGATTTATCCCTGTACACCTAAGGGTACAGTAGTGAAGTAGCGCCTCACAGTATCGTACAATCTAGTTTACATGTAGTGTAGTGGCGTTCTACTATAGTGAAAATCCGTATGAATACCGTATATAGTGATAATTACAGTTATGAATACCATGATAAAGTAGTGATGTAAACTGTAAACTGTTTCTGTCTTAGAGCATATGTTTAGTAGTGAAAGTTTATGTACTCGTTATGTTTAGAAAATCCCAAACTATATTGATTATAGTTTGCATGTATAGTGAATAGCGTGTCCGGAAAACTAAGCAAATTTTAGTGAAAACGTCCCTTATGCTCAGCATAGTACAAAAGGGATTTAATGTATGAGATTTGCATAAGTTTTTGAAATCATTTATGTTTAGCTTGTATTCCCCCCCCCCTGAAAACATTGAAAATATGGGAAAATGTAGGGGTATGAACTCACCGTTGTTGCGTGAAAGTGTTGACTGAAATGAAGATCCTCGAGTGGTTGCACATGACACTTAATGGAATCCTATTATCAAATAAATACATATATGTATCTAAATCAGCGATTTCGATAGATAAAGTGTCATAAGAACACTTGAATTTGGTTGAGGAATGTTACCGGGACTTGTTCGAATCAAGGAGAGTGAGTTTTCAGCCAAAAGCACCACTTAAAAGGGTGTTTACGGTCGAAAAGGAGTTTACGGTTTCTGAATGCTTGGTGAGTTTACGGTCGTAAACTCAAGAATAGAGTTTACAGTTCTTGAAGGTTGGACCGTAAACTCAAGAACAGGGTTTACGGTTCTTGAAGGTTGGACCGTAAACTCAAGAACAGGGTTTACAGTTCTTGAAGGTTGGACCGTAAACTCAAGAACAGGGTTTACGGTTCTTGAAGGTTGGACCGTAAACTCAAGAACAGGGTTTATGGTTCTTGAAGGTGGACCGTAAACTCAAGAAAAATGGTACTGATTGTTGATTTCGAAGAGATAAGTGCTCTGAGACGTTCCAAGATGTCTCCAAACGTGGTTTTCTAGATGATTTCCGAAGTTTGAAGGCGTTTTGAGTGTTTACGGTTAAGGTTCTTAGAGAGAGAAGGAGAGAGTTTTTGGCCAGAAATGTTCAAATAAAGGTGGGGGTTTCGTATTTATAGGGGTGAGGTGGTCGGTGATGGGGGGTCCACTCGTTACTGACCGTAAACGAGTTTACGGTCGTAAACGAGTTTACGGCCGTAAACACGTTTACGGTCGTGACCTCACTTAGACCGGAAATGATTGATTTTTTTCGAGATATTCGGGTTTCCGCGCGATTTTTGGTTCCGACTCGCAAATAATTTAATTATATATAACTAGATTATTTTGAGTTGGTTGAAGTGTTGAGATTAAGGTGAGAATATGATATGATTTGAAGGGAAGGAAATTAAGAGCTAACAAAATTTCAAAGAAATAAAGTATGTTGATATACGATGCAATCACCCAAATCAGCTTCATAATGATGAAACAAGACCAACCTGTGGAAAGTTGTGAAGTGGTTGAGTATCTATGCAGGTGTTTTTTCTCAGAAGAATAAAAATTAGGAAATACAAACACTTCAGGAATTTGGGATTAAAATTAGACATCATGAATCGGTATTCTCTACCCATGATTGACGATCATTTAAAGTGAAGACAAGAACTCTAGTTGATATAGCTAGATAAAAACAAAGTGGGAACTCATATCAACTTTATGACCTAAAGTTATTCAAATATAAGATATATTTCCAGAATAAGGAATTGAGATGTTCGGGGAATTTTGGACTGTTAAAATAGCTCCTATGGAATAAGTTCTACCTCAGTAATTTAAAAAACTTGGTAAGAGGAAAAAAGTATTCATCATTTAAAAGTCACACAAAGGATAAGATATATAGTTGGTGTTTTGAGAATTGATGGGAACATAAAGTATGAGAAGGTTTAAAATTTTATGTTGATGAATATTATTATGGTTGTTAGATGGAGTCAAGTATATCAAAACCCAGAAGGGATACATCATCAAACACATGAAAGTAAGCCTCAAACAAGTCCATAATTAATCACTTAAAAGATAAGTCCAGTTTAAGAATATGAACACGATATGAATTGTTCAGTATAATGAATTATGATTTGTCGTTTCCCTTACTGATTCCGAGGATGGAATCATCCTAAAGGTATGGGTAATTGTAACACCTGGTTTTTGAGGCTATAAATTTTGAGTAAATTAATTTCTTTATTTAAACAAATTAAAAATTATAAATGAATAAACAAACAAGTAAATCTAATGATTGTTAACATAATGGGTAGGAGAGTAAAATCTTGAATGTTATAATTATGAATTCTATTATTGAATTATGCATTTCAAGGTAATTAGATGACCAATATGAGTAGATGACGTTTATAGATATTGAAATTATACTTGGGGTGATGATTTGGATCAAAACAAGAAGATTTAATTGTATTTAAAGTGATTCTAGTGAATCTTGGTCATGAAGGGAATAATAGGAACCATGGAGTTGGAATAGTGATTCCATAGTTAAGATATGAACCTACAAGATTTTAGGTTGAGTTAAGGGACTTAGAAATCATCTAATATGATCCCAATGGTCTCTAAAGAGTTTTGGTAAAGTGTTTTGGTTATTGGTGAGTTTTGGGGAAAATTAAACCTTTGACTTCATAAGTAAGGTTTGATTAGCAATAAGACCATGGAATTACGAGGATGAACTTAATGGTTTAAGTCAAGTGTTTAGCATTTCAAAATGCATTTTAGATAGGTTTGGGAACCCATGTTGGTTGTACAAATGAAGCACTATAAGGAAACACAAGTATATATGCAAGGTAGATTAGCTAAACGAAATGAAATATGGAATGAGAATTTGGTGTACAAAACACAACTCGTTTCCTAAGGAATCAGATGTGTTATGTAAAGTATGATGCCAAAACAGGAAACGTTAAAAGAACACGATGCGTTCTCAATATGAACATGATGTGTAGGGTAGAACGCAACGCATAACCCGATGCGTAAAAACCTATTGGGACGAGGCAATATTTTTCATTTCGGGGAGTTTGGGTTATCCATTTGATCTGATTTCGCTTCCATAATTCCTAAATAACAATGAACATTTGGAAATTCAGGTAGTTTTATAACCTTAGGGGTATTTTAGTCATTCTTAGAAAATTATGCTATACCCTAGAGGTGGTGTGTAGGGAGAATTTTCACCGAAGAAAATAGTGGCTTTTGAAACTAGAAGTTGAGTTGAGTTACTGACAACACACATCCTTTACTTTATAGTGACTAAATCTGATTTCTTTCCAAAACTAGTATTATTTGCTACTTGTTACTATATATATTGTTGCATTCATGAAATATGTTTTGTAAAGGGTTTGATCATAAAAATCACTGGACTTTATATTTTGGAAAATTTTTTAAATATCCTACTTGTGCATATCATGTTAGGATGGGTTGTGACTATGACGCCCTAGGTACCCAAATGGACCTTTATTTTTTTATTTTTTAGTAGATTTCTAGATAATTCCCACAAGCACAAGTAGAGGCTAAGTACTCATTGTTTGGCCTAGGGCGAAGGGGCCTAGTGCCTAGTTTGTGGATATTAGGGCAAAAGTTGACGTTTCGTCCGTCATGAGCTTTACGTATCTGACCATCAAATTGTGAGTTGGACTTATGAGATGGACAAGGGAGTATGTAGTTGCATGCATTGCATGTCTCTCAATTAACTTTATTACTTATCTTTTTCATTTTATTGCTCTTTTGATAACAAATGTTTTTGCTATCTTTGGCAAGTTTAAAAATATAATTTTGGAGGCTTGATTCAAGTAAGTAGGATTGACATCCTCTCACTTTAACTCACTAGGCAAATTCATTGCCTAACTTATTTTGATGTGTGTTTAGATTGAAGATTTTAAGGGACTAGAGGAGTAGGACATTTAGATTACCCCGTGGGGAACTTGATTCTTGTTATGATACCTATTGACACCTAGGTTTTAAAAACTAAACCTCTTGAAATATTTTGGGACTGTTTAGTTTCCGCAAATGTTATGAACTATGAAACTTTTTACCTTTAAAAACTAAAATTTATGTTTAAAAAGATATTCTAAAATACCCGGGCAAGGAGTGTTACATATAGTGGATACAGATGACATGTTAGCAACAAGTACAAAGTTTTAGTGACAATACGACGTCACTAAGTACTTCAAATACCGACTTATATACCTCTAGCAAAAACGCACAATAATGTACTTTTGTTGTAGTGAAAATGTTGAACACAATAATATAATCAAGAGAAGAGTTTATGTAGTAGCCTTCAGATAGACGCCAATCTTATCAATATACCAGCCAGCAGCGCCATAGAAAGCTACAAAAGAACAATCATCCCATGATACTGTGAAAGGCTTCCCTCGTTCATTACCAAAAGGTCCGTGGGTTCTTTTGTTTGTCACGAATGATATTGATGTTATTACTACGCAACCAGGATCATCTCCCCTTGATAGCCCAACTGTTCCATTAATGGCACGTATATCCTCATCTCAATCAAACATAACCTGCATCAACAAATATATATATATATATATATATATATATATATATATATATATATAATATATATATATATATATATATATTATATATATATATATATATAATGGCTAACCCATACACCTACTAAAAATAGTATTAAAAATTATGGAATTTGTCTCTCAATTTGTATACAGGGGCCTATGGATACAAGCTTTACATATGGCAAAACATTATGCTGGTTCTCTGCATATGTGTCCGTCGTTTAGCATTATATAACAGACGATGAAAAATGTGAGCAGTTTCTCTTTATTTTTAAGATTCGATTACATTAATTTAACCATCTTCAAACAATTTTTTATCTTGACATTAATAAGGTAGAGTAATAACATGGTTTTGCTTACCCAAGGCCTTAGTTCTTTTCAAATTTTGCCAAAATGATGTCGTTTTATATGTTACTCAGTTTAGCAGCCCTATGTTTCCAGCTCTCCCAATATATAATAAACTTAAAGGCTGTATTTGTTATTTTTTAGTTAAAATTCTCACCTCAGTAGGCGTCTCTTCTAATTTCCAGCCACCAGCCAGTTTAGAATTTTGTAACAAGCCTCTATGTTCTGTAGTGAACATGAGAGAATATATCAGATCCCCATGGTTTATGTTTATCTTCTTCAAATGATGATTTCTCTCAAGTTGGAAACTCCATAGATTTTGTGGACCCACACCTTGAGTCTTTCCCCATGTTCCAACTCTGATGATTTGCTCATAAGCTTTAACAAAGACACCAATGCTGTCAATGTAATTGCCAGCAAGGCCATAAAAACTGACTAATGAGCCTTCTTCCCATGGTAGAGTAAACTGAGTGTCTGTTGCTTTACCAAAAGGTCCATGGGTCCTCTTGTTGGTCATCAAAGATAGTGAAGAAATTGTTTTATAACCCTCTCGAGTACCAATGCTCCCATCAATGCTAATTATTTGCTCATCATCGGCAAGAATGACCTAAGAAAACGGTAAAACTGTTAAGATTGAATGGAAGCTGAAAATTAATACATATTGTTTGGCTGATGACTTAAGATACATTCACCTCAGAAACCTTGTGTCCACTGGCCCAACCACTGACCTTCCTAGTAAGATTCAAAAAGCTTGTAGATTCACTAGTGACCTACATAAGTAAGCATAACTGCTATTATTGAATTAAAGATAAAAGAATGCGTATTGATCAGTATCAGCTAAGTTAAGATCTATTTACCACAGGATTAACATTGTCTCCATTGGTCCCACCACCAACCGTTTTAGAAGTGTGCACAAGCCCTTTATATTTACTAGTGAACGTGAGAGAGTGTATTGTTTTACCATGACCAATGGTAATCTTCGACAAATAAGTATCTTGTTCAAGTTGAAAAGACCAATATTCTTGAGGATCTCCACCTTGTCTTCCCCATGTTCCAATCCGAATAAATTTTTCTACTTTGCAACCAGCCTTGAAAAAATGAAAATAAATAATTATTCAAGGGAAAAAAAACGAAGTTGAACAAAATATAGAATGAAAAAAAACGATGTTTGAACATAAAAATATGAAAAAGCGGATTATGTTCCTAGTAAATCGTTTGAAAATACATAGGAAATACCGAAGGACTTCCTACACAATACAAAATTCATCACTAATCTCTTGGAAATATGAAGATATTTCCAAGGGATTTCCTAGGACCAAAACTCATTTTTTGGTTTTTCGGGGTTTAAACGTTGTTTTTTCGTTTCTTATTTTGTTCAACTTTGTTATATATTAAGTACTTTTATCTTACTAAGTTAAATGTGATATATACATACATACATGCATTTGCACCTTTATAATATATTACTTAAAACATTAATTTTTTATTCTATATTTATACTTGTGTATATGTATGTGGGTAATAAATATAATTTAGTAAGCTAAAAGTATTTTGTGTATAACAAAATTGTAAAGAAAAAATTATGTTACTAGGAAATACCGAAGTTCCTAAGCATTTCCGAGGAATCTATAATTTATTTATTATTTTCCACTTATTTTATAGCTTAGCCCAATTGTTTATGTTAGCCCAATAAAACTTGTTTGCCCTAATTCTTTCATTTCCTACCTGCAGCCAAAATCGATCAACAGCCTCCTCTTTTCTTCTTTCTTTTCTTCCAACTTGTAGGTGGTTTACGTGGTGATTTCCGATGGGTATAAGGGTGGTCGAAGCTGTCGATGGTGATTGTCGGCAGTGGAGGTGGGTCAATAGTTTGAGATGGAAGCGGCGATGGTTGTTGGCCGTATAAGAATGGTTGTTTCCGGTTGTAATAGGTAGTGTTTGGTGTTGCGTTTTTTTGAACGACCAAGGAAAGAGGCTGAAATGGGTGGTGGCGAAGGTGGTTCTCGGTGAAGGTTTACGTGTGTGTTTAGGAAGATGATGAACAGGTGGTGGTGTTTGTTGGTTCTCCACGACGATGGTTTCGGATTCTGGTATGACGATATAAGGGTGGAGATATGTGTTTTGTCCGTAGTTCTAGGTGTTTAAAGCGGAAGGGAGGGGTGGTTCTAGGCTGTGATTTCCGGCAATGACAGCGGCCATTTTTGCAAGAAGGTATGTGGCTCCGGTGGTGGTGGTTTATGGTAATGCTTTGGTGGTGATTAAGGCGGCAGCAGGTGGGTAAGAAAAGTGATTTTTTCTATTCCCTTTTCGTCTTTTTGATTTCTCCGTTCTTACTTAGTATTTGGGTGTAATTGATAAATTGAATGAGTGATTGCTAAAGCAGATGTTCAGAACCAATATATCCAAGTTCAAAGCTCCAGCATTCCATGTTTTGAGACTTGAGGTAATCTTTTGTTTAGTTTTTTGATATTTTGGAATTTCGATTACTGATTCTAACAGATAGTTAGAATTGGCCCTTGGTTAGTTAATTGTAGTATAAATTATATTAAGGTTCTAATGAGAAATCCTATAATTCTGCAAGTATGATTACATTAGTTAACTTTTTATCCAAACTCTTCTTATGCTTTCTTTTTACGTTTTGAAAAAAAAAAACGATTCATTAATCAATTAGTATTATATCTATATATTTCCTATAATAGATAAAAATGTTAATATGTATTTTGTTTTTCTATTTTTTTGAGTTTACTGATATGTTTGTTTTAACATTTTTTTAGGTTAGTGAGTTGGACCATAATCATCAAGAAATGAAGAAATGACCGAAAGACAAGCACTAATAGTTGAATTCATCACCCTCATGGCAACCCAGCGAATGCACATTACACATTAGGTTATTTTAGTAAATATTTGTATGAGTTTTAGATATCTTTATTATGTTTTGTGATTTAGAGTTTAGATGATTATTAAAACTTGTGTCGTAATGTATTTAGATTTATTGTTTTTGTGTATGAGTTTTAAATAGAATTTAGTCATTTGTATTAAAAAATTTCTGCATTTTTTGCAATAAAATCGTAAAATGCTTATTTTTTTTTAAGCTGCACATTTCCTAGGAAATTCCTAGGGACCTCTCGGTCACCAAAACGATCACCAAAAACTGTCAAAAAAGTATGGTCCTAGGAAATTTCTCGAAAAAGTATTCTCGGAAATTTCTCGGAAATGTATATCCTAGGAAATTCGTCGGGAAATCATTTCCTAAGAAATTCCTCGGAAATATATTTCCTAGGAAACGTCTCGGAAAAATAAAGCCTTGGAAATGCCTTGGGACTTCCAACAAAACATATTTCCTCGGAAAACCCTTAAAATTTTCCTCGGAAATCCCTCGAAAAAAGTTTCCTAGGAGGGTTTTCCCTACGCACAACTTTTTTCTTGGTATTTCCTCGGAAACACCGGTTTCCTAGGAATTTCCGAGGAAATTGTCCTTCAGAAAATGCGTGTTTTTTTAGTAGTGAAATTCTCTTCACTCAGGAACGGGAGGACATAAATTAGCCTCTCAGTTGGCCATTTTTTCATTCTATCCCATTCAAAAGAATCAATCAGTTAATGAGGCCAATGATCATGGTGAGGGTTAAAGAAGAGTAAGAGCATGGAGTTCCCACAAGCATTTGGAACATTTTCATGGAGCACTTGAAACTCAATGGAACACTTGGAGTTCATGGAGCATGTGGCAAAGGAACCGATCATCTAAGAAGGGAATGGATCATCAGACAAAGGAACAGATCAAGTGACAAATGAACGGATCTTCTAAAAGGGGGTATGAAGCACCTGGGAAAGGAATATAGCACTTGGGAAGGGAATAGAGCATTTTGTGAAGCTCCATGAAGAGGATACACCATCCTTGGAGGTATATGCACCACTCCATGATCAAGGTGAGCCAATTGTTAAGGTGGGTGCGCCATCAAGAAGAAGATGCACCATTTTGGAGCCTAGATGAGCCATTTGTGAAGGAGATGTGCCAACATGGAAGATGATGTACCATTCCTTGCAAAAGATTCTCCATCCTCATGCTTATTGCGTCATCTTCGTGCAAGGTGTGCCACATGTGTTCCCTGATGAGCCATGGTATCCTTCATAAACCACTTATGCTATGATGTCCTCTATGATGCTCAAGATTGTTCAAGGATGCTCAGAAGTTAAAGATGTTCAAGGATTATTGCATGATGTGCCACAATGATGGCTGATGAGCCATTGTGATCTTGATGTGTCACTCTTGCATCAGGATGACACACTGTGGATCATGATGCTCCATCATTTGTGTTGTTGATGATCATGCAATGTAAATCAAGAATGAAGGTTTCAGAAGCTACTGTATGTCTGATTGTGATTGGTTGACACCTTTCATGGGCCTATGGATTAATGGGTTTGTCTCATTAGGTTTTTAGGTCAGATCTCTAGTCTATAAATAGGGATGCTTGCTAGTCAACTGAATGTGTCTTGAGTTCTAGAGTGAGACGAATCTCTATTCAATTGTGATTGTAACCTCTTTTTGAGTGCTCATAAATAAAGAATACTCCCTTTCTGCCCAGGAAATAGGTCACATTGATCGAACCATGTAAATACTATGTCTTCTACACTTTTGTTTTTGCTTGTTATCCACATTACTTCCTAACAATGAGTGATCTCGTAATTTGATCCCATGACCTTTTTCCCAATGGAACTTCCGATTATAATAGAATTGATTCAGAGTATTTCATAGGTTAGTAGGGGTCTGTTTCACTTACCAAACAAGCGAAAATTTGAGCTAAACTTGAAATCACATAGTAGGAGTTGCAGACTACCGTCGATATGCAACCAACTTGATGGAGGACCATTCATCTTCTCTTGATATTGTATTCATTGCTTAAAAGGACTTTGGGAATTACAAGACCTCTAGGGGAACTACAAGGAGCTTCGCCATCCACATGTGAAAATGTGGTGGAAATTCATGACTAGAGTTGGACAAAAAGAAATAATTAAATCAAACTTTTTTTTTTTATTGGTAACGGGTTCATCTGAAAACTGGTCGAGTTTGGTTTAACCGACAAACAATAGTTGTTTGCATTATTGGCCTATGGCCTTGTATATTTGTATATATACTTGTAATTGAATTGTCTTTAGGTAATGAAAGCCAAATCTTCTTTCGCTCCTCTCTTTTTCTCTTCACGGCGTTTGCTTCTTCATCGCCGAAATTCTACTTCTCATTCACTCTTTTGTGTTATGTCCTTTATTCCCCAATGGCCGCCACTCTAACACCATGGAAATCTTGCCGCATCACAATTATGAAGTCATAAATCTCTCTCGTTCTTCACCAAAAACGTGCGTTATGACTCATGGAGAGAGCTTTTCACCACCCATTGTGAAGGATTTGATTACAATTCACCCACTTCCCAATATATAAATTGTACCGCCCACTCCACCTCAAAAATGTCCTTATCACCCCTTCCATTATGAAAAATCTCACTTTTGTAAAAAAGTTTATTCGTCAACATAAATTTTCTATTGAGTTTGGTTTTACTGCTAACTATTACAGGATCTAACAACGTCCTCTACCCCGATGTGACAATGACAATCCTTTTTATTCGGTCGTTCCGCCTCACCTCAGTTTTCATGTCAAGTCAATTCGTATTACACCAACGGCTCAGTTATTATAAGATCAAGTCTTAAAGTCTTTAGTTTTTAATAATTAGATATCTTGTAATAAATAAATGTTAAAGTATTATGTCAAGCTTGTCAATTTAGTCTTTCTAATTCAAGTAGCTCAAACATTTTTTAATTATTCATTCTAACATGTGGACCTCTCATGTCTTTAGAATTAATGGATTGCACTATTATGCCATAAATTTAATCATTATTCATGCTACTTTTAGGTCTTTCCACTTAAAAATAAATCTGATTTTTTCCCAAATTTCTTGAATTCTCAAAATATATCAAAAATCAATTCAGAAAACCATAAAATATTTCAAATATGATAACGGAGGTGTATATGACAAGAAACCCTTCCATGATTACTTTTCCACCCATGTAATTCTACTTTGTTTTTTGTGCCCACATACCTCCCAACAAAATATAAAGTTGAAAGCTTGTTATGCACTGTCAACAATACCGCGAACACCTTACTCTTTCACTTCTACCTACCACCTGCCTACAAGGTAGAACCCTCCCCTACCCCCCCCCCCCCCACACACACACACACACGGTCACTCACTTCCTTAACATCTTAGTTAACCTCCATTAAAAATGACACTCGTCACTACCTTTCTTTAATCGTCATCCAACATACTTTCATCTTAATGTATTCAGCTGTCTTTGTTTTCCTCTCGTCACTACTACTCGCAAACTAGCACACTGCACTGCCTCATGCATCATTCTTGGATACTCATCACATCATCATGGTTTTCGATGCCTTGACATATCATCCTAAGAATCATCATTTCACATCATGTTGTATTTGATGAGATGATCTTTCCTTTGGCTCGGTCACACCATACAAACTGCCATCTTATAATTTCCTTGATCACATGTAAATACAATTGCTATACTTACGCAAAATACAGAAATCCAATCTGATAACTCAACTTTGGATCTCACCCAACCTACGTCCCTCGTCTTTAGCCCTACACTCAACCTCATCCCAACATACAACCTCAACCTATAGGCTATAGGGTACTTGTTTTATTTGTATACCACTTTCAAATATTAAATTATGTTAGGATTGCAGATGGTTTTGCAAGAGTTGCCAACTAGTGTGAAAAAAACGATAATTTGATATAATTAGGAAATAAACATATTAGTAGGTTAATTTATAAGATATATGTGGAATTTTATTAAATTTTACCAAATATAAAATTGTAACCTTTAGTAATAATCTAATAATTATTTCAATATTGAAAGAAATATGTAGTAAATAAGGACTGTTAGGTCAAACAAATCCATTTCAAAGTAAGGGTATTGATTAAAATCTGACATCAATAAGGAAGTCCAGGGGTTTAATTGATTCATGCCAACTCGTGAGACACTTGAGACCAACTCGAAAATTACTCGAAATCAACTTGATTTCAGTTTAATCGAGCTTGAACTCAAGCGAATTGAGTATATTATTGAGTCAAGCTCGATTATCATAATACTCAGATCGCATTACCTCATTTCTAATTCCCCCTCCGCCCCTTGATCTCACACTCAACATCCTACATCGACCTTTGCTTCTCCACCTTGCTCCTTCGACTCTATTATCATCATCATCTTTTTTTTTTCCGCTTATAGGGTTGTCTTATACTCTGAATATCCTAATATTAAGCTCTGATTTAGATGGCATCTCGGCTAAGCATGCTAATTTGATGGCTTATGGGCATTTTTCATGTTCTTAGCAAGTGATCAAGTTGATCCTTTGACTGAATTTTGTAGACCATAACCCTTCATGTCCATCTATGTCGGAGATGTCTAAAGATATATATAAAGGTGCTTGTTGGTTAAAGTTCTTTTGGTGCATGTTCTTGTATTTAATCGTCAATGTTTAATTAATTCTATTTTCAGTCCACTTTTTCTTGTTCGACAACGCTTTTAAGATTACATTTGTTGGGCCATGCGGAGCATTCGTGTAAGGGTGATGTGGCATCAAACCCTATGCGTAAATATCGCTCCATGCTCCCGTAGTCGTGGTGCGACGTGAGCAGGGTTACGGACGACAACGGAGGAAAGAGAAGAGGGTAACGGTCATTTGACCGTTTGAAGCATTCAACCAAAAAAATCAATTTTTACATATAAATATTAACAAGTTTTATACATATTTTCACACTACAATCACAAAATTATTTCTTTGTAACTACCAATTATTTCTCATTCACCAAAAGTCAAAAAATGGATCAACATCAACACACTCACTTTTGATTCACCTATCGACCTATACGCCATTAACTCAACACATCCCCAGTACCTACATTATGAATCACCAACCGAATGGTTTAGAGCACCCGGTATGGGCCTCAACGAGAATAGACGTGG